CGCCCCGACGCGCTACACATGGGAGGGCCCGCCCAACGCTGCTTGCAGCTTTAATTTTTTAATTTTTAATTTTTTTCTTTTTTCTGCAAAGTAAGCTAAATTTTGGGGGCCTAAACATACTCGAAAACTCAACAAACTTTGCACACATGTCAGAAGTGGTGAAAAATTTCGTATTTAATGGGTTTCGCGCATGGGCGTGGCAAAATGGCTTGCTAGCGCCACCTACAAAATTTGAAAAAATTAGCCCCTCGGCCACATTCAACCTACATGCACAAAATCTTCTGGGGACATGTATCATATCAAGACACCCAAAAAAGCCTCAAGAACCCACACCCTAAACTCAATGGGCGTGTCCGTGGCGTCGATGATTCGCCATGAAACAGGAAGTTATGAGAACTTCAGTGTACATGCTCACATCGGATGAGAGTCCCGTCCTGAACACATGTACATTAATTATTCATAGATTCTACCCCACTAAGCAGTGGCAGATCCTGCCAAATCTCTCAGGGGGGGGGGCAATTTTTGTGATGATGGCTAAGATGACAAGTTCAATGGTGTAAGTCTGCTATAAGACAAGGATTGTTCCATACTGTACAGCTACATCCTGAAGTTCATTGTCAATGTCTACAATGAATGATGAACAGTCCACAGTTAAGATCAACCGATCTTTAGACCTTTGGATGTAAAGGCAACTACTTTAGCAATAATGATAAAAAAAAGAATAACTCTCACAATCATCTGATTTAGATGTAACAAACCTTTTATTTAGGAACAACAAATACAGAATAAAGTGCACTGGCACTGGGCTGATAATGTGCAATGAATAAAATTATTTACATTTAATCTTGTACTGCAGCTAAGAGACCTGTCTCAAGTAATAGGCTATAGAAAAGTAATAATGTCACATATACTGGATATGAAGGTGGATCAAATACAGCTTAAATGTTTAACAGGGTACAGATGAACCTAGTATTTATTTTCATTCTTTAAGTTACACACATTACACAAGACTAATAAGGTAAGCAGAGAGTTGTAAAATATCCACTTGTTATCCTGTAGATACACAGTATTAGGGGTGTGGGCTGTATTAAAGTAATCACTGTTCTCCTGTACTCTATAATCACACAGTAACAACGAGTTATGTGCTGTTCTCCCATTCTTCCTCTGTATTTACACATACACAACAAGGCATGTAAGGGGAAATATAAAAGGTATATTCTATTACTTTTGGTTTATTTTCTGTGTTGCTTTCCTACTTCTTCTTCTTCTTTTTATCCTCCTCTAACAAGATGCCAGTGATGGCCACATCATGCTACCTCCTCATTCTTCTTCGGTTTCTGGCATTAAAAGAAAAAAACAACACATCAAATAATTGTTACAGGTTGAGTGCAGCTAACTTTAAATTGACTCCACCACCACACATATAACATGGTTTAATAACAATCACATTAACATAAGCATAAAATTCGGCTAAATAATAACTATCAAGATTATTAGCCTAGCCTATGGCATTTTACACAGCATAAATTAGCCTAGTGGCTAGCGGACTTTTCCTCTCCTCATAGCTTAACAAATTACTTGTATTATTTATACTGTGTCTTACTCGCCACTGGTAAAGTCACTGCCTCTCCCAACACAACACCACAGTTGAATTTTCAGCCTGAATGTAAATTTTCTACAGCAGCTGGCCGTAGTGAGAGCAACAAGCTGGAGGACTGCCGAGTCGTTTTCAGGTGTCAGAAGCGTAGCTCTGCTGCTGGGCGCATGACGTAAACACATAAGTGCGAGCCCTTCCGGAACCCATAGAGATTGCATTGCAGCGGCCGCAGCTCGAAAAAAACTGCCTTTACATGCAAGTCTATGAGAGAGATCTGGGCGATTTACAACCAGATTGAAATCGCACCAAAAGAGGCGGGACTCCACGGAACACAACTTGACGCTGATTGGACAGCGATATTCAGAGACAAACTGTCGATCAAAAACAGTCACAGTTAACTAACAGTGTGGTAGAAAGTGTGAGAAAAATCCCCTGCCTTTCCCGGCTTTGCGGTGCGTCGGCCAGGCGCCCTAATGAACAAGTATTACATGAAGAGGTTTAAAAATTACATTGATCCTAACTGTACCTTCTGTGAGACTCATAAAGAAACGATATTACTTTTGTTTTGGCACTGTACTTTTGATAAACAATTTTGGCAGGATGTATGTACATTCATTAATGATTATATATATCCAGGTTTCATCTTGTTCTGGCAGAATGTTCTTTTTGGGGTTTTCAGTAATGAAAAGCAACACTGCGACCATTATTTTATAATAAATTTCATTTTGTTTCTGGCAAAAATTCATATACACAAATGCAAATTTACAAACAATAAACCCCTATTTACAGTCTTTGAGAAAGAAATCTAACTTTATTTAGAATCTATTTATCATTTTAATAAACACAATGTTTTTAGTTTCTATAAATCTTATAAGCTGTTGCTGTCATCTCTTCCCCATTTCTCACTATTTTACAATAAATGAAACAGCCCCCCTCTAAATTCTATGAGAAGGATGTGTGGTGAAACACTATATTGCACCACCTTTCCTCTGTCTGGCTTCATGACAATCACTTCACAGAATGCGATCACCGTCATTCAGATGAAATAATAGGAGCTCTTAGCAGCTTTAGCTGGTGCAGTTAAAATAAAAAAAAAATAATAAAAAAGCTGGTGCAGTTATGGAAGGTGGAGATTAGGAGTTTTTAGTTATAAATAGTTTTACTAAACTACCAGTACAGCAGCAATATAAAATTAAATCTGATGGAAGACCAAAGCCAAAAATGGAGCTGCGCTTGAAGAGGAAAAAGGGGGTTCGGACGTTCAATGAGGAAAACTATACAGTGGCTAGCTGGTAGTGCCAAACTTCATTTGACTCTGTTGTTGTGGAGGAACTAAAAGCCATTGGGAAATTCTATAACTTGGTTATTGACCACTTCGCCACCATGACAGACAGGAGAATGGCCTTCCTTTTCAAATAGGGTGAGTGAAATGTTGTCTCCTTCTCTCTCTGAACTTAACTGAACTGCAGCTATTTGTGAGATTTTTGATGTGGTTTGTTTGTTTTGCTTTGCTTGCCTGGATTTACCTGCAACAATTTACCAGTAACCTTATTGTTTTTACTGCAGTTGTGTACGCATAGATAGCACCACAGACAGCACCTGCCACAGGGCACTGGGCCAGGATAGGCTGCCTGAATAATTGTTTTTACACTGTTGGTCTGGTACTTGGTTGTGAGTCTTGAGTGATGTTGTGTTATGAACATTTGGCCAAGCATTAAGAAGTATGTAGACCTATTTGATCCATGCACCACAGCTACTAAGCAAATATCTTCAATCTTCTTCTGATTGAACTTCTTTTATTCTTAACTGTAGCCTGTTTGTACTGTGCACTATAAGCAGCGGGCTATGTATGCTATTTGGGGTGAGAGAGTGAGTGAGTGAGAAAGAAAGAGACAGCGCATATGTCTTGGTAAATGCAACTTTCAGCGTGTGTATTGATAACAGATAGTGCGCATCTTTAAGTAAGTATGATTCAATTTTGTGTAAAATTATACCCTGCACTGTAATAGCCATACACTGTATATAAAAAGGTAATAGCACAATACATTAGATATTGTCTACATTGGATTACAACGTAGACAACTTAAGATAATACAACATGATGAAAATATAAAGGAACTGTTGATAAAATATTGTTATAAATACAAAACAGTTTATATATATATATATATATATATATATATATATATATATATATATAAACAATTTTAACAACATGTGGTAATAAAAACTTAAATAATGACAAAATAAATGGGTTGGCTACCATCCAAATCTAGATCTTCATCTAAGCTGCTACTTGATGCAGCAAGAGCAACAGAAGGTTCTCTCGGTTGGCGCCAGTCTCTCGGGTAAATGGAACTGTTGAATATGTAAGAATATGAATATAGTAAACATTATAATTGACACTGTTTTCCTATAAGACATGACTACTATATCAACAAATGATTTTAAATGAAACCATGAAGTATATTTCTAATTGTCATTCTAATGAAGGTAAAAAAAAAAACACGTCTTTTTCTTTTTAATTTAACAGCCCTTATTTATTACTGAGCCATTTATCTCTATGGAAAATATAAAGATACTTTAACAGGACACATGTTTTAGCCATCATGTTGCTTTAGAACAACCAAATAGACAAGTGGAATCTTGTCCAGATTTGAGACCTCTAGGTATAGTGGTTTTGGATCTGGCCCTGGTCTACATGCAAAAACAGCAGTGAAATCAACCTTTAAAGCATTTTCACAAATTGAATAAAGGTTTCACAAATCTGAAACTATATTTGTTTGAAACTTTAGCAACTTTGGAGTAATCTCATCCAGATTTGAGAGCTCTGGGTATAGTGGTTTTGGATCTGGCCCTGGTCTAATGTGTCTACATGTGAAACCACCCTTTTGTCATTTTCACAAATAAAATAAAGTTTTTTTAAATCTAAAAGACAGCGTTACGACAGTAAGAGGTGCAAAAAACGGAGAACCTGTGGCTCAGCAACTTAAGTTAACTTTCACATAATTTCCCCTTAACTTAAAGGGTAGTTCGTCCGAAAGTCGTCTGCTGTATTTAAACCCTACGAGGGTTAGGGAGCTCGATTTGGCTGTGAGGGTGACTCCGACCAGACTTCAGTCCATGTCGGTGTGGCCCCAGCTTGGCGCGACATCGGACAGTGGCGTTGTAACGTCCTAAAGGACCCGACTAGTTGAGACACATTTGTTCCGCCTTTCGCATCAGCGCCATATCGTCGCAAGGAAGATATATTACTATGATTATTGTATACTTTTCGTTCAGAGGGGGCCATAGCGGGGTCCAAGGTCTGTGTTACAGGGGCAATGGCCCCTGTTGCCCCCCCCAAACCGCCACGACAGCGTACACCACAGGCAGGTCAAGGCACCACCGGCCCATGTCTAGCCATAGACAGTATGTAGCAAGGGGTGTAGCCCTTTAAGATTTGTGCAACTTCACACTCCCTCTCGCCCTTTAACGTCATATGCGGAAGTGTCAACATGGAGGACGGGAGAGAGGCTTCCACGAATTCACTTCTGAAAGATGGTAAGAACAGCTTTATGAACGGCAGCGAAAGATTTGTACCGTATTTTAATGTGTTCGTCGATAGTTGTAAAACATATTAGCAACAGCTTTGTCAAATTCCCTAACTGCTAACTGTAACGTTACTGCAAAAGCACTGTCCGAACTACTCAGCTTATAACGTTCCATTTTACGCTAACGTTATTTCTTTTCTATTATGACGCGTTTGCCCGTTTGACATTTTCCTGAAAACCGCTTTTAGGCCGTGGAAATACATTTTGTACAATTGGTGATATAATTTCTATATTCCGTAAATCACACCGGTGACAGAGAGTAAGAAACCTAACGTTAGTGGAGCTCAGCAGAGATGTTAGACAGAGACAGCAGGCAGTGTGCAGGTTCACTGCTCTGATCCATCTGCTGAGAGAGAAACTGAGTCAAGGCTTCATCAAAGAGCTGGAAGATGACATTTTTTCAGTTACAATAACACAACAAGCGATTTTCAGGAATAGTATGAACTGTTATGAGTGTGCTGCTGTGTCTGCAGAGTGCTATGCTGATTTCCTGGCAGAGGAGTTTGATGTAAAGACTTACACCGCTCAAGCTATTCACCATGCTGTCATTGCTGAGCAGCTTGCCAAGCTGGCACAGGGCATCAGTCAGCTGGACAAGGAGCTGCACAGCCAGGTACCAACCCAACACCACAACACAGCCACACTGACTCATGAACTTCTAGTAGACCTGGCCAAATGAAGTTTTGTCTCTTAGAGTTTATACCGGGAAATCTGTGCGCTGCAAATAACAACATCTAGGAAATTCTGCATTTAACACCAGACCAGACTTGGTATAGTATGTGCCAATAGCTGACAGGTGAAAACCTTTTGTTGTCCACCGAGAGGATCACTGTTCCATACTTTGACCTGGGTGAGTGAGTGACTTACATTTCCTGTTGATTGTTTCAAATTTGGTGACAATAAATCTTCTTTGGAAATATTGTTGATATATTGTTGTGTGTTGGAATTAGAGCTGCAACAATTAGTTGATTATTTAATTTGTTGATCGACAGAAAATTTATAGTTATAGCCGATATTCAATAAAAATATATGCCATTGGGATTAATGTATTAGCTGATCGTAATAACTAATCAATGATGCAAAAAACATGAACCAGTTCTCAGCTGAGTCTGTGTTGTTATTGCACGTTATCAAACCTAAAGGAGCACTTCACCCCGAAATGATTTGTACATCAGTTACTCACCCGTGTAGAATTCCTGATTTTTTTACCCCTCACACACAGTGCCTCTACATCAGTGTTTCTCAACGTGGGGGGTTCAGAGGATGACAGGGGGCTCTGGAAGCAATATTTTAGAAAGTGGTGTGCTGAGATGCTCCAAGATTCACAACAATACGAGTTTAAACTTTCAACTACTTGCAAAAAAACTGTGGTCTGCAACATTAAAACCTGCGGGGCACTGTGACTGGACAAGACGGTGTGTATCGTAACTCTTCTTCTTGTCAGCTGCTTGTGGCGCAGCTCCGTGCTGCCTTCAGGGGAACACGAAGTCAGAGTATCGTCTGTACAGTTTCCCCCACATGGCGTATACTGTGTAAGCTCTGGGAAATAGACCCTCTCTTTCTTGATATTGCAGTGGAAAAATTTATTTCTCTTAAAAGTGTTAATTTGAGGAATATACCGTGAATGCCTTTCTATCACAGTGTTTACGCATTTACAAGAGGGATATTCCACTGTCAGACTTCCCCTTAAAGCATCTTAGCATCCAGCAGCTGAAGATAGGGCTGTGAGATTAATCAAGTGGACCCACCTCTCGCTGTGAATCACATTGAGTTTGTGCCCAAGCGGTAACGTGACATGTAAAGTTTCATTTAAAAAAAATGTAACGTTAAAAACTGAGGAGCCATCTTGCTGTATTTGTCTAGACTGTTCTCTGCACTTTATCTGAGCTGCTGAAGTAAACGTGTGTGGATTTGTGGTGAGATTTCTGCCTGATCACAGGTGTTGCATACCTGTCAACCTTCCTGTTTTTCCCGGGATTTTCCTGCATTTTACCATTCTATCCTGCAGTTATCCCATTTAAATACAGTACATGAGCAGAAAACCTGCTAAAACAATGGAGCTAGCATATTAAAGTCCAGGAGTTACTAACTGAATTAAAATGATTTCATTTATTATTAAGCTGAAAAGGTGGCGCATGAATATAAAACCCCAACACAACAAGTCTCAGCAGTATTGCTTGTGTCCATAAGCATGTGATGCACATTAGAATAGCTTAAAATTTCAGTGTTTTCCCTTAGTTTTATGTGAGCTTTAGATGAATGTTTTGGTGGTGGTCGTGGTAGTCATGGTCAGGGCAGGTTGGGGGTCCCAAGACAATTTTACTTTTTCCAATGAAAAATATGTAATTTTACATCATCTTGGGCCCTTGTTTTCACCATATCACTGAACAAATAGTTGGAAAAGCTAGAGCAGATACTGTAAAACTTTGAATAATAACCTGGGCTTTTATTTGCTAAAATCACTGAATTGACCCTGCCTGTATTTGGGAAAGGCGTCCTTATGGGACAGGCCTTTATTTCTTTTTGCACAAAACGGAAACTACTATGAAACAGATTATTTATTTCAAACAGAATTAAAGCTGCAAGCAGCGTTGGGCGGGCCCTCGCACTTGTAGTTTTATTTAATTTTTCACCGGTTCTGACATGTTTGCAAATTTTGGTGAGTTTTCGAGTATGTTTAGGCCATGTCATTTGAGCCTACTTTGCAGAAAAAAAAAAAAAAAATATATATATATATATATATATATATATATATATCTTAGCAAATTCAATAGGGACCTCACACGGTCGTGCTCGGGCCCTAAATATAATCTTAGCAAATTCAATAGGGACCTCACATGGTCGTGCTCGGGCCCTAAAAATATAATCTTAGCAAATTCAATAGGGACCTCACACGGTCGTGCTCGGGCCCTAAAAATATAATCTTAGCAAATTCAATAGGGACCTCACATGGTCGTGCTCGGGCCCTAAAAATATAATCTTAGCAAATTCAATAGGGACCTCACACGGTCGTGCTCGGGCCCTAATAATCAAGGAACGGACACATTAGGACTTAACGAGTGGACTTAACGAGCGCTTCAAAGTTAACGGGAGTCAGCACTTTTTCCCCCTCTTCCTCTCTTGTAGCCATGCAGGTTACACCGGTAAATCTAGAAGAATTAGACTTTGGGTCTTGTTGTTTCCGTTAAATGAACTTAACAATGGTATTGTGGAGAATCTAAAGATCTAAAGTTTTTCAGCATGCCCATATTGATCATACGTTTAAACATTTATATTTGTATTAACGATCTAAGCAGCTTAGAAGCAGCTAAAGTGGGAGACCCCGCGAGGTTTAAGAGGTTTTATACATCCAAAGAAGTTCTATAAAAACCAGACCAGGCGTTTAATTAAGTTAAATTGAGCTAATGTTAAGTTACATAGCAGCTAAAGACGTAGCCTGCTAGCTTTCCTGCTCAGCTGCGCAGTCTGAATGGGAGGGGAGATGTGTGCTTGTGCAAACCAACTTCACTTTTCCAGCAGTTGGGGAAACAACAGACGGACTTTTCTTGGTCTTGAGAAGCTGACACGCTGTAACTGACAGTCCATTTACTGCCAGAATATTTTCCTCCGCTTGTGTTCACGGTCACTTTCTGCCCCTCGGACAATCCCCCTCCTGTTATAACAGCACCTGTCACGTAGATGTTCTGTGAAGAATGAGGAGAGGAAGTGAGCCAAGCGATGAGTGTTACTGTGCTTGCACAGTGTGTGAGTGAAAATTAGTAGCGCGTTGATATAATAATGATTGTGGGAAATTTTAGTAGCGACGGTCACAACTGAGCAGCGGTGCACCGCCACTCCTGAACGCATATAGGGAAAACACTGATTGATCTACAAGAGGAACATATTATAAAGCAATAAAGAATACCTGACAGCCTTACTACATTATATTCTTTTTTTTTATTGTCACCTGCTACCTGAATTGTGTGTTTCCCTTCATATAAATAAAAACCTTTTATATATTTCCACCATAAATTGGAGCAGAAATTTTCACCAGAAATTAAGTCTTTAATGCTCAAAATCTTCACGGCAAGGACCCCCAGACCCCCCACAGTGCTCCATTCAAGAAAACAGTCTCTGAGTTTCTGAGAAGAACAGTCACTTATTAAATAAATATAATTACTATTGACATGGCTTTATTGCTCCCTGTGAAAGTAATAAAATGTGTTGTCATTCAATTATGTGCTTTTTCATGTTTCACAACAACAACAATCAACAATATAAGGGCAAATTGCCACCATCTTTACTGATGGGGAGCAGTGTAAGGGACCTGGATAAAAAAACTCATAATTCTTATTTATATAGTCGTATGCTCAATACTTCCAAAAACACTTGCTAATGAAATCATTTCTGGCAGAAATCCTGAAGGCAGAGTGGTACTGCACACATGTGGTTAAACTCTCGTGCATGCAGCTGAGAACGCTAACCCTGTGTGTGAGTAGTGCCACCTCCCAGCTCGTTCACTGGTCAGGAGATGCCACCTGGTGGAGATCCCAGCACACTACAGCCGTAAAACCATAGCTAGCTGCTATAACAAAACAAAAACAAAGATCTTATTGCTGTATATTTACTAATCAAAACAGATCAGCTCATTGAGGGTTGGCAATCAGTATTGTCACAGAAAAATTGGTCGGGGCATCCATAACTGGAAGCCACATGATTAGCACTAGCCCACTAAGTTTTAGGTTGTTTTATCATATTAAATGCAAATCATTTACTGCGTACTGTAATAGGTGCCCAATGCATATATATTTCTACTTTTTCCTTGCAGGTGGTAGCCAGACATGAAGACTTACTGTCTCAGGCGACTGGAATAGAGTCTCTTGAAGGTAAAGAGCCACATTTACATATGTTACCCTTATCATTTCAAGAACAACAGCTTCATGGACAAGTTTTCCCCCTTCCTGGCTGCCGTTGGTTTTAGTTAATTTCAATACACTGCACAAATTAGTTGCACACACTTGGTTGAAAGAAGTAACCCATTTTAGTCAACATTTGGTCACATTTATTCAGGTTATATAGTTTTAGCATTATGATGCAACTGTGCAGTGAGCATTTTGAAAATTCTCCTCATTGGTGCATTTACGGATGCAGTAAAACCAAATGTGAGATTTGACTGTTGAAAACCACTGTGTGAGTGTCAATGGCCTCAGCTAATATTAATACACCAAAAAGAAACCTATTGGAGTATTAGACTCATCAGCAAGTTTATTTAAGTTTTTTATTTTTTATTTTGGTCAAATTTATACTTGTGTAGTAATGGTACTGGGAACACAGATTCATTTGAGCTAGTCTGCCAGAATCTTACGTTACACCCCTGTTTAATGGAAGTTGCTACCACATAGTCACTTGCATTGTTATTTTGCCAACGTCCAGGTTTGATTTTATGATAACATTCATGTCATTATTGTAATATTTTTCAGAAATCAGCTGTTAAGTCTCATATGTGAGACCTTTTCACCTGCACACATGGCACAACCTTTAGCCTAATCTTTCAACAGTATTTTCAAGCAATGATTACTGGATAATGTTGCACAATTATTTCAAGAATGGTGACCTGTTTTTCAAATTCTTTCTCTTCATCTGTTGCAGTTTAAGGGTTTTACCACAAGGGGGAGCCAGCATTCCTCAGATGAAGTGTGAACAAAATTTCCTCTTAAAATCAGTGTCAAAATATAATGAAATAAAACTATTTTTTATTGTTGTTGTTTTCAGGGGTCCTTCAGATGATGCAGACAAGGATCAGTGCTCTGCAGGCAGCTGTTGACAGGTAAATCTGTTTTCCTTTATCTTAAGTCAGATTAGATCGAGGTAATTCATTTATCCCATCACAAGGTTGTACAACCAAATTAAATGAAAGATGGGTTAATTGTCAGCATTTACACAGATATACAGATATGATTGACTCCAGCTACATAACAATCAAAGTTGAAGTTTTCACAAAAACTTAATTATTATATATTAAGAGATTAAGACTTTACTAAACAGCTCTTGTTCTGCTACTATTCAAAAGAAAGCCAATACTTGACTCCACTCATTTTAATAATTTGCTTTTAGCTAAGGTTTTAGATTAGAAATTGACTGTTCAACTGTTGGCACTTATTAATAAAAACAAAATATTTGAGATCTGGTTTTACCTATTTTATCATGTAGCACTTTGAGATTTGCTTAAATATAAAGTGCATTACAAATTAAAATTATTATTATTAGGAGAAAGCCTAGTATAGAATCTGCCCTTCATAAGGTCATCATGAATTACTTATTTTTATCAGCCGATGCTGGTTCTGTGCTTGGTCCACTCCTTTTCTCTATTTACATGCTTCCTTTAGGTCTCCTGACATGTAGACATAACATCAGTTTCCAGTTTAGCAGATGACACACAGATCTAAGCTGTGACCCTGTAAACCATTTTCAGAAAACTCTATACCTCCAAACTACCTTCAGGACATCCATAAGTGGACATCTCAAAATGTTCTCACTAGGCCTGTCATGATAATTACTTTTGTTGGACCAAATACTGTCCCAGAAATAATTGCGAAAACAATATTTGTGTCATTTTAAGACCATTTTATGCCATTTATATAATGATAATATAATAGTATAATAATGCAAGTAAACTATTTTTTAAGAACATTCAGACATTAGAATTAAAATGTAAATTTTTTAAAAAATATCCTAAATAAATAAAACTAATAAAATTAAAGCTGCAAGCAGCGTAGGGCGGGCCCTCACGCCGGGACGCGGCCGCAGTGCAGCAGCCGGAGGTCAAGAGACGCGCCTCTGTATTATCGCATATAATGGAGCGATTACAAAGCAGGTAAACGTCACTTTGCGTTTCTCCTATGTGGCGCTAGAGAACACCCGCTAATTTTATGTTGTGTGCCAATACGTGCCACAAACGGCTTTCATGTTGCCAGATGAGGGTGGTATGACTATGATTGAATATTGGCATGTAGATGTGTTCAGGGCGGGACTCATATCAACCATTTAAAGTTTGGGACAGATCTGAGCATGTACACTGAATAACAACTTTGAGTTTCATGCCGAATCATCAGTATTCGAGACCACACCACAGACACGCCCATCAACAAAAACTCACAGATAGCACAACACAGCTTTTCATCGTCAGTACCTCTAGATTGCACAGCAAAAATTTTAAGTTGATCCGATTAATGAACTCCTCCTACAGAATTAAAGTACGGTAAAGGGCCATAAATGGGCTGAAATTGAACATTCAAATCAAAATGGCAGACTTCCTGTTGGGTTTTGGGTATTGCCCCAAGAGGCTTTATTGTGCGTCTTGGCATGATACATGTGCCCAAACGTTACATGCATCTAGGTGAAACAGGGGATGCAGCGTTGAAGGGTCACATTCTGCTACCAGTAGGTGGAGCTATGAGTATGAGTGGATATTTGCCTGTAGATGTGTTCAGGGCGTGACCCTCATCAAACATGTGAAATTTGGCACAGATATGAGCATGTACAGTGAAGTTACAACAACTTCCTTTGTCATGGCGACGCAACAAACTTTGATGACACAGAGACGCAGTTACCCGAAAACGTACAAGCTTCATACAATACATAACAATCAATCATACAATCAATCAGAAACATACAATTATCAATGTCTTAAGGCACTTCTGAGACTATTTTTAAGTGGGTGTGGCCAATGTGTTAGGAGTAGTACATAACAGGATGAAACATGACACTTCCTGTTTCCAGCAGGTGGTGCTATGACTTGTGTTTTTGACATGTGCAACATATGGATGTGTTCAGGGCAGGACTCTCATCCTACATGTACTTTTTTTACAGATGTGAGCATGTACACTGAAATTACAACAACTTCCTGTTTTATGGCAAAGTATCCATTTTTGACACCACGCCACGGGCACGCCCACCCATGAAAACTCACAGATAGCAAAACTTTTCATCATCAATGCCTCTGCATGGCACAGCCAAAATTTGAAGTTGATCAGATTTTTTCCCCCTATGAGTTTGTTAAAGTATGTAATCTGTGAATCGTCAAAAATGGCCGTTAAAACCAAATGGCTGACTTCTTGTTGGGTTATGGGCATCACTCCCGGAGGCTTTTTTAAACGTCTGAAAGGTACTTAGGCCTACACTCTTTAATGTACCGTACATTTTTCTTTCGCACAGCTGGGACTTCTCACGAGACCCACCTCAATCTGTCTTGGTGACCTAGCTGCGCTGTGGATCTCTTCCTCTGTCTGTCCTGCTTGCCAGCCACTTCCAGTGCTGTGAGAGTGAAATCTAGTTGTTGTGTTTATAAACATGTGTTCATATGCACATGTACCAAGTGTGGGAACCAGACCATACACATTTTCAAAATCATTTTAAAACAAGAAAGCGATAATTTAGTCTCTCTTTCAAGATTACAACTCTGGACTAATACAAAATAGAAACCAAACGTCTGACATTGATTAATGATGTGTTCAAGTTTTATTGTCTTTCATCCACTTACCGAGTAGGCTATACAAATGATCGAAATGCCGATTGTCTATATGCTATATAAATAAAATGTTTTTTTATTGTTACCTCACTTCCCTCAAAAAACAGCCAAAAATGGCATGGTTGGCCCCACTTCCTGGCTTTTTAATGGATTATATCTAAAACAACATCCTGATTTGTAAAATAGGGAAACACAAGTGCCAAAAACCAGAGATTCAAAGTTCTTAAATGTTCAGGTTATAAGGTGGAAGGTCGGTAAGTTTCTGCAGCGTAAACGCTCTGTATGATGCCTTTATGCGCCTCCCTGGTTCTTAATGAAACTATGCATATTTTTTCAGGATAAGGACGAAGATTGTTGACCCGTATAACAAGATTGTGACCAGGATCACCCAGCTTGCCAGACTGCAGGTAACTCTTCACCACACATTTACTGTTCTGTTGCTGTGTGTCAATCAGTTTCTCTTTTCAGATGGCAGAATAAATGCATAGACAGTTATTTGTGTGGCTGTTTTACCAAAGAACATTGTTTTACTTTAGATTGGAAGCTTTCCAAAACCCACAGAGAAAGTGTAGGAGAGAGGTTCAGCATTTGCCTATATGTAGGCAAGGCATTTGTTGTCTGCAGAGCTCCAAGCTTCTGTGTATCCACAAGCAAGCAAGCAAGCACATGTGAGAACACTGGGCTGCAGTTCTCCTGTTTGTGCAGCTGAGGGAAATCCTGATTAAATATTGATGAAACAGCTGCTGTAAAAAGGTCAGTGAGATTCTGAGGGCTCTCTCCTGGGCTAATGGCCTTGCTGCGCTCAGATTTTCTCTCTGTATTCGTATGTACATGGTGATCACTCCCTGTCTTGTCTCTGGCCCCATGTGACTCAACAGCAGATCAGTCCAAGGCCTCTGTTCATAATTTTTCCCCTTGTCAACAACACAATGTCTTCCTCTCAGGCCACCTCTGATAATAAACATGGACACACACGTTCTGGAGATATCAGCCCTATGTAACTGCCTCTTTAAAAAGAGGTCCAGTTGATGAATGAGAATCAACACATATATTGTTTTGAATCAATATGACTGCAACCCACATGTATTTACAAACTATAACTAAATTGGATAATTAACATTGTTCAGTTCCTTCTTTGTGCGTCTGCTGCATCACTGAGTGAGAACAACAGATTAGCCAAAACATCCCGCATACGGGCGCTGCCATCTTGTACTCGTGACGTTACTTGGAGCCTGAGTTTGTGCAGTAGTGATCAGGATTGGCTCCCTGGTATCAACGCCCCGCCCATACTCCCAGCCGACTCAGGGCAGGGCTCAGCTGGCCTTTTTATAGCATCAAGTAACTAATTAAAACCAAATGCATAAGAAAAAGAACATACATCAGCATGATAATAGCTACCTAAAATGACAGAAACCTGTCAAACAGAAAGTCTGTGGGGGAAAAAATTCACATGAACTTTGATATTTTTGATTGATTATTTATGATTCTGATTCTGATTTTTAGTTTGACCCATGTCCAATCTGCTATTGTGGAGGGTGTGGGATTTATGACCAGTCACATGGGGGTCATTGAGATGCTGTGGTTTCACTTTTGGGGAGCTTTCATGTTTTTATGTACAGTATGTGTCTTTGAGAATGTTAGCATGCTGATGTTAGCAGAACTGCTAACATCGCAGGAGACTTGGTACACACAGATAGGTGGACACGCAGTGTCACAGAAACAATGCTTTACCCCTAGCTACACTTCTGTTCCTCCTTCCACTCCTCCCCACATTATACTGACCATCTTCTTCCTGTAAGGCATTCAAACTGAACTTTGCTGTCATTCTCTTTGTTTATTTTCACCCCAACCTTTTTTAATTTAAATTTTCTTTTTTACTTTGTTATAGGCCTGACCAATGGTGGACTTTTGAGACCTATAGAGATTACAGATATGTAATCATCATATATTTCACATTAAAAATATCTAGACTGATAAGTAACTAGCAACTATTGCTGTGAATTGATAAATACAATGGAGTAAAAAGTCTATATATATATGTGCTGTGTTTTAAACAAGCACAGCATGTTAGCATAGCAGAGTGTGTCACAGCTGAGCAGACGTTGGTGCGGACGGAGTCAAGTGGTGTCTTCACGTTAAGTTAACTAGTTTGTGAAATACATAGTGGAAAGTTAATAAAGTTTATAAACAACGAGCCCATCATATTTATATATTATTTATATATATATATATATATACACACACACACACAGTGGGGAGAACAAGTATTTGATACTCGCCTGCTCGCTGCCGAAACTGAATTGTCTTCAACTTTTTGTACACAACGCGCAGCACAAATCATTGGAAGAGACACTGATCCTCACTGTTTGTGAGTTTCCAGAACCTATTACTGTTTACTAAATAGGACATCAACAGGAGGGAATTCATATGGCAGAGAATCCCCACAAAACTAGATGAAGGCCTATCAGGTAAAGTTATGGAGCCTATAAATTTAATTTGAGTTAAATTGGCTACAGCTGTACAGCGCATAGAAGCCATTGCCATGGTTACCCTCAATAGAGTGCCTGCCGTTTACTCGTGGAGTGCTGTCTTACTTCTCCCACACGCTGCAGTCGATAATAACGCGTTAACGTGCCCAGCCCTAATTAGGTTCCAAGCACGACCGTGTGAGGTCCCTATTGAATTTGCTAAGATTATATTTAGGGCCCGAGCACGACCGTGTGAGGTCCTTATTGAATTTGCTAAGATTATTATTTTTTTCTGCAAAGTAGGCTCAACTGACATGGCCTAAACATACTCGAAAACTCACCAAAATTTGCAAACATGTCAGAACTGGTGAAAAATTTCATATTTTATGGGTTTCGCACATGGGTGTGACAAAATGACTTGCTAGCGCCACCTTGAAAATTGGAAAAGATTATCCCCTCGTTCACGTTCAACCTACATGTACGAAATTTTCTGGGGACATGTATCATATCATGACGCACAAAAAAGCCTCAAGAACCCATAGACTAAAGTCAACAGGAAGTCGGCCATTTTGAATTTTACGGCCATTTTTGGATGATTTACACACTCCGTACTTTAACGAACTCCTCCTAGGGATTTAGTCGGATCAACGTCAAATTTCTGCTGTGCCTTCTAAAGGCATTGACGATGAAAAGTTGTGCTATTTGCGAGTTTTCGTCAATGGGCGTGTCTGTGGCGTCGATGATTCGCCATGAAACAGGAAGTTGTTGTAACTTCAGTGTACATGCTCACATCTGGACCAAACTGTACATGTAGGATGAGAGTCAAGCCCTGAACACATGTACATGCCGACATTCACCCACAGTCATAGCGCCACCTGCTGGCAACAGGAAGTGACCTTTAACGAAGCAGCCCCCGCCGCACGTTTCACCTACGTGCACAAATTTTCTGTGGTACGTGGAGGACCGATCCTGACACAGTCAGAAATAAATACAGAAATAAATAAATGTTCAATAAATAAATAAGCATCCAATTAAATACACAAAAAAATTAAAGCTGCAAGCAGCGTTGGGCGGGCCCTCGCACTTGTAAGCGCGTCCGCGTGTGAGCCGGCCGAGTTGCATATTCTGGAGCTCTGCCGGTGCGGCTGTGAATTTCCTACGCGGTTATGTCGCCGCATGAAGGTGCTATATGTCACTTCCTGTGTCCCCTATGTGGAGCTACATAGCACTTGCCGCTATGAATATAAATCGGTATTGACGTGTAGATGTCTGGGGGTCAGAGAGTTATCAAGCACGCAAAGTTTGGTTCAGATGTGAGCATGTACACTGAACAATAATGTACCCAAACAATAAAATAAATTCCTTTTATATTTCCCTGCCTTGTTGTTTATGTGTACATACAGAGGAAGAATGTGATAACAGCACACATTTCATCGTTACTGTGTGCTGTACCGCAGTTCTGTGTCCATGCATGCAGCAAACTGAAAGCACTGTCTGTCGGAGCGTCTACGTGAAAAGAGAAGGAAGACATGGCTGGTAGTGACTTCAGAGTTGTTAAACACCTCAGCGCACTGAAGGAAGCCATCTGACTGTGTGAGGGGCAAGATCGTTGATGTCTGCAGGCAGAGTAGGCCTAGAGCTCTCCTGTCTGACTGGTCCACCAATAGCAGAGAAGATGACCCCTTGAGACACAGCCCCTCCTCATTTGCATAATGAGTCAGAAATGCATACAGAAATTTAAAAAGGACAGGCAGAAATAAATACCATGGGTGAAAATAAATAAGGTAGAAAAATACAAAGGAAGAATAAAACAGACAAAAATATTAAAACACACACATAAATAAATATATTAAAAAAATTAGTAATAAATAAAGTTGAAGATTATAAGAGAATAAATAATAAGGTAATTATAACAAAGGTGAATAAGTAAAGGCACTAATTAAAATATATACATTTATGTCTCCTTGTATAATTTAATTAATACCAACATTTATTTATTTACTTTATTTTTTTGTGTATTTAATTGGAAGCTTATTTATTTATTGAGCATTTATTTATTTCTGTATTTATTTCTGACTGTGTCAGGATCGGTCCTCCATAGCGGGGTGGGAGAGTTATCAAGCACGTAAAGTTTGGTTCAGATGTTAGCATGTACACTGAAGTTACAACAACTTCCTGTGTCATGGCGAAGACTTGATCTTTGACGCCACGCCACGGACACACCCATCGACGAAAACTCGCAAATAGCACAACTTTTCATCTTCAATGCCTTTAGAAGGCACAGCACAAATTTGAAGTCGGTCGGACTAAATCCCTAGGAGGAGTTCGTTAAAGTACGAAGTGTGTAAATCATCCAAAATTTGACGTAAAATTCAAAATGGCCGACTTCCTGTTGGGTTTAGGCTATGGCTCCAAGAGACTTTTTTGTGCGTCTGGACAAGATACACGTACCACAGAAAATTCGTGCACGTAGGTGAAACGTGCGGCGGGGGCTGCTTCGTTAAAAGTCACTTCCTGTTGCCAGCAGGTGGCGCTATGACTGTGGGTGAATGTCAGCATGTACATGTGTTCAGGGCGGGACTCTCATCCTACATGTACAGTTTGGTCCAGATGTGAGCATGTACACTGAAGTTACGACAACTTCCGTGTCATGGCGAAGAGTTGATCTTTGACGCCACGCCACGGACACGCCCATTGACGAAAACTTGCAAATAGCACAACTTTTCATCTTCAATGCCTTTAGAAGGCACAGCAGAAATTTGAGGTCGGTCGGACTAAATCCCTAGGAGGAGTTCGTTAAAGTACGAAGTGTGTAAATCATCCAAAATTTGACGTAAAATTCAAAATGGCCGACTTCCTGTTGGGTTTAGGCTATGGCTCCAAGAGACTTTTTTGTGCGTCTGGACAAGATACACGTACCACAGAAAATTCGTGCACGT